TTCTCAACAAGCCTATCATTATTAGAGCTTCTGTTTTGGAACTCAGCAAGCTCTTAATATACCACTTCTGGTATGATTATGTAAAGGAAAAATATGGAGATAAGGTTAGACTTGGATATATAGATACTGATTCCTTTATATTTATGGTTGAGACTGAAGATATCTATAAAAATATGGCAGAATGACCAGATATCTTTGATCTTAATGATTCGAAAACTATTGGGCTTTTCAAAGATAAGACTCCAAATAATGTGATTACTGAATTATTTCACATTCAGGTAAGGTATGAATGAAATGGCAGAGAACACATATCCCGAAAGTAAATCTCCTTTAACTCAAGTATATCGGAATTATCTATTCCAGAAAAAGGTATTCTATACAAGAATATAGGATTTCGGTTAAAGAATTATGTAATATCTCTGGTCGAGTCTAAGAAAAAAGCTCTCTGTCCCATAGATACTAAGCGTTGGATCTTATCAGATGAGATAACCAGTTTACCTTATAGGCATTGGTCTATTATGATATACAAAAATATGGTTAAAGATGGTATTTTCCATGAAGAGGCTGAAAAAAGAGCTATAAGGGCTAAGCTTTCAGAGAAATATCACTTCTTTGATGTTAAGTATCTGCAGAAGAAAATAGATTAAGAAAGAAATACAAGAATACCAAAATTTTGAATGACAAATACCTCTCCCGCAGTTCAATAAAATAAGAGGTATGAATGTGTGTCTCACATATCTAACTCACCCACATCTGTCCCATATACAATTTATATGATATTATATAATTCCTATTCTGAAGATAGTGAGAATAGTTCTGGTAGTTTCGACTCCCAAAAATTAATAGAATAGAAATTTTATACATGTATTTTTATAAGTTATATTATTAATAAAGCGAATGTTTAGGAGGAATTTTCTGAGAATATTCTAAGTATTTTTCTGAAAACTAGGCTTTAGCAAATTTTTAGCTAATTTTAGGCAGAAATTATTGTTGGAAATAAATGAAATACCCAAACTTTTGGAAAAATATGAAATTTCTGAAATTTCTGAACTTTTGAATTATTTTTTTTTTCGATTATATTACTTTACCAAAGGTACTAAATCATAATCAGTTATATGTCCAGTCAATCACATTTCAATGAACACTATAAGAGTTGACCAATTATCCCAATCTTTAAAAAAAGAAGCATGGTTATATCTTACAACTCGCAAAAATAACCTATTATCTGAGGAGTTACTCACTAGTAATGTTAATAAGTACCATAAGAGTAAATATCGCTAAAAAATTAAGATCGAAACAAATACCTCCACTAATAGTACCAATACTTTTTTTCAATTGGATGACTTGGAAAAACAGTTAGAGGAGTGTGAGGCTTTGCTAAAACAAAAGGAAAACAATATTAAAAAAACTATTAAGACGCAAGTTGCTGAGGAACGCAAATGTCTAAAAGATGAATATAATGCTCTTAAGTCTTGTCTAGAAAGTGAATATAATAATTGCATGGTAGATATGAAACAAAAGACATATTCATTTAAATATCAATTGGAATCCCAGAATAATTCACATTCATCTGAACTAGAGAAGCAATATAAATCATGTATCTCTGCTTTGGATAAAGCTAATGCTGTAAAAGATAAAAAGATTAGCAAGTTATCCTCTACTATTCCCAGCTTAAGCATGAAAAACAGGATATAAGGAAGACTGCTGAGTCTGTATGTAAAGATTTAAAAAATGTTATCTTTGCTAAAGATTTAAAGATTATTACTCTCAATGATAAGATTATTTCTTTTAACCCTCATATTGGAAGAGATTTGACAATAGAATCAAGTTCATATTTTTTCCATCACGACACTGAATTATGGACTGGAAAGTAGGAAAAAGCAAAGAATGATTTAAGTATCTAAAAAAATTATACTTTTCAGATGCGTGTCTAAACCAATGTTAGCTGAATAGGCACCATATTTTTTTCACTAATCTGATCAGTTGTTAAGCTAACCTAATTACTTGTTAGATTAATCTAATCACTTATCGAACTAACCTGATCACTTGTTGGGCTAACCTAATTACTTGCTAGACTAACTCAATTATTAATCTGACTAGACTGCTCACTATACATATTTTTTAACTTTAAGTGTCTTTTAAGAATAGAGGGATATTTAAATTCCTTTCTACAATACTGGTATATATGATTAGCGTAAAAACTTGTTTTGCAGGCTAGTTTTTTTTGTCTCTATAGGAAATCATTCTTCTGATTCCTTTCCTACAGTAAAAACATTACGCTAGGACTTGTGAACTGATAAAGAATGGTAATAGTTTTTCCGTTACATATAGCTTTAAATTCTCCTTTTATTAAAGGCTTCTATCCAGCTCAATATTGCTATTGCGTTCCAAAAATTACTAAAGATTTAGCATTTCTATCCTGATCTTTTTCTGCAAGCACAACAGAAAATTCATCTGTTATAGAGGTTGTATTTTCTCTAGAACTAATTGTTATGGGAACATTATCCATAGTGCCAATAAATATGAATTGACTTGTGATTCCATTAAGCCTATAAATTTTTTTCCTATTAATTTTAATTCTTAAAAGCTCTTTGATAAGTTCAGCAATATTATCTGAAAATATGGAAGAATCAGAACCAGTATCAATCATTGCGCAAGATATTACCAAACTTTCTATTTTATAATAAATAGTCACAACATCGTCAGCATTCTTTATTTGTAAAAAATTTATCTCTAAGGGCTTGGGTCAATATATTTGTCTATTTTTTTTTCAGCTGAACGACATTGACCAGATTGCTTTGCAATCATATAAGTCTTAATAGTATGATTCAAAGTATATTTGCCTCCTGAGTAGTTATTATTTGGCAAAGATTCTATTTTCATAATGGTCTGAGAAGGAGATGGAACAGAATCATGAAGCACTTTGCATGGGTTTTCCACCACATCTAAAAGGGGCTTTTGCTTAGTATTTACTGCTTGTAATAGCAGAAACAAGATGTCTTAGAAATTACTTTTAACGTTCCTCTATGCTAATTCCCTTCTTTTAACTGTATCATTTGGCATAATAATATTCAAGCAATAGTCTTTTAATTTGGAAAATATCATATTAATAACTTTCGAAATTTCTATAAGAATCTTTCTAAGACAATAAGGGACTAATGATAATATTAAAGATTTTAAGACTATTTGATACATTTGATCTGTAGCCATGCAAAGTGCCTTTTTGATATTTTTAGCACGAGATTTGAAAGTGGGAAATTCCTTCTTGTGAGTCTTTTTTATAGGTATTACACTTCATATTACTTTTTTTTACAGTATAACAGTTTTGGTCAGTAATGTTTAGAGCAAATCCGTCATCATTAACACATTCATCATTCTCCTCAACTTTCTTCTCAACTATGTATTCTATTTCAAGCTCTTCAGCTTCCTCCTCAAATATGTATTCTATTTCAGGTTCTTCAAAGTCATCAGAGGATCCTCTTAGGATGGGATCTTTCTCAATATTTTGGTATATATAATTAACCTTTTTAGTATTCTTAATTCCAGGACAATTAATCTTTATATGACCAGCCTTTCTACAGGCTGAGCAAAGATGAACAATTCGTTTAACTGGTGCTTTTGTACTATCTTTTTAATAGCTTTCTTTGTAGTATTTGTATTTCTAATCTCTAACTCTGAGAAGGGGCTCCTTCTAACATGAGTCATTTTACGCTCTAGTCTTTTACCAAGATTATCGTAAATAAAATGATTTAGAATAACAATATCTGATGCTAGTCCTGTATATTGCAAATCTCCTGCAAGCCATTTCATAAAAGCAATTGCTTTAAACCCTTCATCTAACGAATCTTATTGTAGTTGAGTGCTAACTAAGGCGGAAGCTTATATTCTTTTGCCTGCACTTTCATACCATTTATTATGCAACTCAGTAAAAAATGCATTGACTGTAGCAGGGTTAGCAATTCTAACTCTCATTTCTAAATCATAAAGCAAATGATTAAATAGATAAGGTATAACATCAGCATCTTGCATTGCTTGTACTAATAGTTTGATTCATTTTTCATAATTATCTGAAGTATCTGTTTCAAAGAATTTTTCATTAACAAGAGCAAATATAGTACTTCAGTTAGTCCTTACCATAACTTCTCTATATCTTTCACACAACCAGGCTAGGAAGAAGGTTCACTATTAATAAGTAGAATACCTCCAGTGTAAGGATCATTAGCAGGAACAGGTGCAAACCTTCCAGTTATCTTATATTTCATATTATTGCATCTTACTTACGCATTAAACCCAGCGATACCTAATGGACGTGCTATTTTATTTATATTTTTAAGCTTTTAGTAGTATATATCTGAAAGCTTTTGACCATCATAATCAGATAACTATGCGAGTGCTGAAGAAATAATAAGCATAATATCTTGAATAGTAGCCATATTTTCTGAAGAATTATTTTGTAAATTCAAAATAATTTGCCTCAAATTAAATTCCTTAGCCTTCCATTTTTGATACCGATTAAATATCCAGGCCTAATTAAATTCTGCTAAGTCAGCTTCAGCTTTACGTCTTCAATTTATTAACTGAAAGCTTACCTTTTCTTGTAATAATATATGGTTACGCCTTTCTGCTTTCTGAGTTCTAAGCCACCATATCTGATACTCATTTGCTTTATTATTATATGCTAAAGTTAATAATTGAGCTTTTTGAAGACATTCATTTCTAATATTTGCTATATCATTCATAAGGTTATTGATCTGTCTATTAGCCATATTAAGTAAACCTTAATAATGTAAGGCCTCATTTGATATTCTTTGCATATGAGTACGAATAGTTGTTAATGTTATTCATATACCATTCAAGGTATTTTTGGGGTCAAATGATTTATCTCTATTAATATATAATTTAACACAGTCTATAGCTGTAGCAATATCTCTTAAAAGTTCTGGTAATGCCATTGGTGAACTATTTATTTGGGATAATTTTTTATCTGTAATCTCCCTTATTCACTTTTTAAACTGTTTAACTATATCTTCTAGCCTTAAAATATGGATATCTTGAGCAGTACTTGTATTACCTTTATATCTTAAATTCTGTAATACTTTGTGAAGATGCTGTTTAAGAGATTTTATCTCAGATTTAAGAGATGCTATCTCATCTTCGTGAGCTATCATTGTTGAATCCTAGTAAGATAATATTTTATAACAGTTTTCTAGCTTCTTAGAAAGTGATTTTGGCTTTTTATTCTTAAGTTTACTTTTGCTTATTTCATTCTCCAATTTTTTGCGTAACTCTTTATTAGTATTTAGAATTTCTATGTAAGCGAGATCATCTATATTAATTTTTATTATTCAGATAGAATCGGGTGAAGCTCAAAAACTTAATATTTCTATTGCTTTACAAAAGATTTATTATCAGCCTTCAGGCTATCAGAGGACTGCAAAAAAATTACATAAAGCCTCTAAAAAGGTTGAATATGATTTTTCACTTGATGAGGTGTGTGACTGGCTTGATAGATAGGCTGTGCATCAGATACATAAACCTCGTCCTAGATTTATTTCTTGAGCAAGTTTTTGCTCTATTACTATTCCTAATAAAGTTTACCAGGCAGATATTCTCTACATGTCTTATGATAAAGTAAGTTGGGTTACCTATCTTTTTTGCCTTAATGTGGTAGACGTGGCTTTAAGATATAAAGTATCTATTCCTATTGGTGCATATAGTGTCAAAGATAGGCAGAGAATCTTAACTTTAAAGACTATTGCTCGAGCTCTTGAGAAAATTTATAATAATCCTGAGTGTCCTCTTATTTGGCCAGAAAAATTTTTAACAGATAGGAGACCAGAGTTTAGAGATGATTATGAAAATTAATGAGAGAGCATGACGTGAAAATTCAGAAGGCCTTTACTAAAAATACTATGGATATTACTGAAAAATTTAATAGTAATTTAACTAGAAAATTATTTCGTCCTTAAGATGCTTCTAATCTTTTGACTTTACACTTAAATAAGATATTCTGAGTTTGGATAAAGAATTTGCCTATAGTTGTTAAATATTTTAATAATTTTATCACATGCCAGCTTGGTATTTCTCCTGTTGATACAATAGAAAAAGAAGAGGTCTTGGCTAAGCCTTCTTATCCTCAGGATGGCCCTATAGGTTTTGATGAAGAGAAGCTTTCTGGTGATATTCTTGTTCGATATTTACTATATCCTAGTGATTTAGAGGATGGGAGACACTATGCTGGTGATTTGAATTGATCCCCACATATTTATCATATCTGTCAAACTATGATGCAAAAAAATTAGCTGGTCTTATACTGGCTAGAAGAAGTCTCCTTTGGGTTAATTGATAATGATAATTATATTCTTAAACGTCCTAAAGGATCTTTGTTCAAGAAGAATTGATGGTTATTCCCTTTGATACAGAATTGCCTTCCCAGTGAGTACTTACGAATTAAATTTTTTAAAGTGATGATAAGAAGTCTTCTGTCTCTTCATTAACTTGTTTATCAGTAATAAAATAATCTTTAGCTAATTTATAATATAATTTATATAGTTCCATGATGGTGTTAAGAATCTTTGGATCCTGCCTATAGTATTCTTTGTAGTCATCTTTGACTTTATAATATTTAGCTTCATTAGGGAATATATTCATGGCTAGTTTGAGAACATATTCTTGAGGATCCTTTACCTGACGCAATTTTTTGATCCTTTCTTTATATGATTGCATGAATTTACCTTCCTTTGGCCTTCTATAATAAATGCCAGCCTTGACTACATTTATTAATGCCTGCTCAACTTCCTGATATATAGGTTTTATTTTGGCTAATTGAATTTATGTACTCATTGTGTAATTAGTATATATATTACTATATTATGTAAAGATTTATTTAATTATAATTAATTATACAACTATAAAATGAGCGAAATTGCTAGAGCAAAAGTAAAATTTATTTGTTATTATCTTTTTAATACTGGTGAAATTTGTGGCAGACGTAGTACTAGATCTGAAGGTTGTCGATCACACTTCAAAGTTAAGAAGTATTGGCCATGCTCTGCTTATAGTAGACTTACAAAGATAGAAAAACCTTCAGGTATTGATAATGGCCTATGTAACTATTGTAATAAGAGCAATTATCAGATCTGATATATTAATAGTCTTTAGGATAAAGCCCAGATATATGATCAGTATACTTTAATCTGCGAACTAAAAGTCTAATTTCTGATTCATAAGTCTAACCTCTTATCCTGAAGTCTAACCTCATTTTGACCTTATGTTTGTATAAATAGATCAGTTCTAGAAAGGTTTCTAGTATATTATAAATTTGTATATGGTGGGAATATATTATTTTTTCATCTAGAAAGCTTTTTTGATAAATATTAAGTCTAACCTTTGATTCACAAAATCTAACCTCTAACCAGAAGTCTAACCTCTGATATATTTTTTTATTTCTAGTATTTTGCGAAGATTTAGCTTTTAAATGGTTTCTTGTGTATCAGAAAAATTAAGTATACAAGAAATAATTCCTTAACTCTTAGAACTGTAAGTTGATAACAGCTAAGTCTAACCTCTTCAAGGTTAGATTTAGCATTTTGATACCTAGAGATTAGACTTCAAGATTTTTGGTTAGACTTAGTGACGCTTTGTTTATGTTTATGAATCAACTTTAGAATTAATTCTAGAATAACATAAATAATAGTATACATATAAGGTTTGTAGAGACTCTATGAGTTTAGCTTCGAATCTTCGATTCTTGCCAATCTCGCATCACCTCAAACCCAAACAGAATGGTATATTTTTATTGATATATTATTTGAGGTTGAAATTAGGCTAGAAAGGCTATAAGTGATTGTTTTATTCTTGGTATTTTTGCGAGGTAATTTAATATCAAATTGATACCTAATATTTGGATAACGAGAAAAGCTTAAATTTGGATTAGAGCTTTAAATTCAATAGAGGATTCGAATAGCTAGAAGGCTTTGAAAATAGGATTGGGAATCTTTCTGAGTATCTTGTCTCAGAAGCCCCATATTTGTCTATATTTATTATATAATTTATTATTTTTTATTTTAATTTTAAAATTAGTTCTAATTAAATATACTTAATAAAGATCTATTATTTTTGAAATTCTTTATAAATTTTAAAATTTTTTTTATTAAATATATTATATAATAAATTAATATCCTACAAATAAAAAAAATAATTATTTATTTTATATAATTTAAAAAAGTAAAATTTATGTTATAATTATATTTAATTAATTAGTTTAAATTTTGTTCAAATAAGTAGATATCAAATATTTTCTTGAAAATGTAAAATAGTAATAGTTTTATTATTAATAATTTAATAAATTGATTTTAACAACTTAAGAAATTTTTAATTTTTTTAATTTTAGAAGTTATTTATTATATTTAATTTTATTAAATCAAATAAAAACTTTTAATTAAATAATTTATAATCTTATTTATATTATTCATAAAGTTTGCAAAAATTGCATTTTTTTATAGCTAATAAAAATTTATAATTTTTTAAATATTTTGACAATTTTGATGATATAATTATACTGTTCTTTGAAAATATTATTATTATTATTAAAAATAGAGATGTTAAAATTCAGTCTAGTTCTAGGATATAGAAATTAGACTTATGATTCTTAGATTGCAATTTTATAGAAAAATAATCATTTAAGAAGAATAATAAGTAATCGTTTGATTTGAATGATAAAAAAATTATTTAAGAATAAGGAATTATTTATCTTGAATAATAAAAAATTATTAAAAAAGAATGATAAGAAATTGTTCAACTTGAACAATTATTTTTCTATAAGACTGCAAGTTCTAATTTCTATAGGATCATGATCTTATAATTCAAAGGACTTTGAACTAGATCAGACTTCATAAGACTGTTTAAGATCTAATTCTATAGAATATTTTAATATTCTTAATTAAAAATAATATTTTTTTTCATGATTAAATTAAAAAAATATTAACTTTTATTTTATAAGATGTTTATTAAATTCAAAAGCTTTTATTAATAAATGAAAAATTTTAAAATATAAAAATATTTTTATTAAATTTTAATTTAAATATTTAGATCTTATAAAGTATATTTTTAAATAAATTTTTTTTTTTCAAAATATAAATTATTAATATATTAGCTTAATTATACAAAATATTTTTTCTAATTAAAAATTCTTTTATAATAAAGTTATTAATGAAAAATTATTCTGTAATTTTCTGATTTTTCTCATTTAAATAATTCTTTTTATATTTTATATATCATATATCTTTATAACTATAATTATTATAATTATTATCTTTTATAATAAGTTATCAATTATCAAATTAATTAAAATTAGTTTTTGTTATTCAAATATGAATTTTAGATATATTAAAAAATGAACTTTAAAAATAAAATACTTTAATTTTTTTCTTATAGAAAAATCAATTTTACTTTTATATATTAAATATGATTTTTAGGTTAAAATATATTTAGATTTAACATTAACTCATTTTTTATTTTTTTTTCAGCCGTTTTCTCCTTTTTTATTGCAAAGATCCCATATTCTTTATCTAGAAATTGGTTATAATCTACAATACTAACTTGTATTTAAATAAACTTTTAATCATATTTAAGTTATAAATTTACTATTAAAAGAATAAAGTCTTAAAAAAAAGATTACTATAAAAGGAGATGTGATTATTAGGAGGATCATATGATTATTTGATTAGCCAATCAAAATAAATAAAAAATTTTAACATATATAGTAGGGAAAAAAGTAAATGTAAGATGTTAAAATAAAAATGCCTAACATTTTTAACCATTTTCGTATTAACTTTGTTGTAATAGATGCTGGTGTTACCATTAGGCCATTATAAAGATTCGATTATCAAAATCAAAGGTTAGGTTCGTACAAATCTCAGAATCCGAATTCTTTGTCAATCATTCCATATAAGCATCATGTGTTTGCGCCGATATTATAAATTAATTCCCACACTTTTTTTTTTTCGTTTTTTTAAATATTCTCTCACATTCAATTTCAAGCTTTCAAACCATTATTTTATTTTACTCTTAGAATTTCTTTCAACTCTTGCAATTCTTTTTTAACTTTTAATAAATATATATCATAACTCTAACGATGGAGAATTATTATAAAAAAGTATCTGCTATA